TTTCCCCAAAAAAAAAAAAAAAAAGAAAACTGAAATTTAAAAAACTTATTAACAGAAAGCAAAACAAAACAAAGAATGATGGACTTGAGTTTAACCTGAGCCTGGGGTCCCAGCCCTGCTGCCTATCAGCTGGGCAAGCTCCTGTACTCTCTGGGCCTGTTTGCTCAGCATCTCCTTCCTGGAGTTGCTGTGAAGATTCTGATGGATGGTGAGTGAGTGCCACACTGGTGTAAGGGCTGGCTGACTTCATGGCCTCAACAAAGAAAACAGGAAAAACAAAAACACAGCAACCTCTCCAGCAACTCTCACAGGGACGAGCTGCAGCTTTCATTCCCTCTCTTACTGCCTAGAAGCCCTCCATGATAACTCCATAAGAATATGAATGAGAATAAGCCCATTTGCTCCTTCCTCAACACTCACAGCAGCAAGTCCCTCAAAAACTTTTAAAGAACCTACAACCCCCAGACCCCGAGGCAGCAGCTCCGACTCAGCAGCCCCAGGGGATCCAGGCCAGGTGATTCCATGCCCCCAAGAGGCCCAAACCTAAGACCCCCAAGCCCCAAGGCAGCAGTGCTGACCCAGCAGCCCCTGTGGGATCCAAGCCAGGCGAGTCCCCAACCCTGAGAGGCCTGAACCAACCCCCAGGCCCTGAGGCAGCAACAGGCAGCTGAGCCACAGCAAAACTCCCTGTCACTGCTGCAGACACCAGGGTGGAACAAGTAGACCATGAAAGCCTCTGCCACAATGACTAAACGCCAATGGAAATATACTAGAAATATGAAAAACCGAGAAAGTACGACACCACCAAAGGAATATAGCAACTCTCAAGTTCTACATCCTATAGAACAGGAAGTCCTTGAAATGACTAACAATGAATTTTGAGCAACAATTCTAAGGGACTACTAAATGAGATACAAGAAGACTCAGTTAGACAACACAACAAAATGAGAAAAAGTATACAAGACCTGAAAGAGGAAATGTACAAAGAAATCAATGCTCTGAAAAAGAATGTAGCAGAGCTTGTGGAGCTGAAGGATTCATTCAATGAAATAAAAAACACAACAGAGAGCTTAACCAGCAGGCTAGAACAAGCAAAAGAGAGAATTTCTGACCTTGAAGATGGCCTGTTCAAAATAAGACATGTGGGCCAAAAAAAAAAAGAAAAAAGAATTTAAAAAATTGAAGAAAATCTAAGAGAGATAATAGACAACCTTAAGTGTTCAAATATCTGAATTATGAGTATTCCAGAAGGGTAGGAAAAAGGAAATGGCACTGAAAATATATTCAATGAAATAATAGCAGAAAACTTTCCAGGTATAGGGAGAGAGATACAGATCTGCAGATTTAGGAGGCTCAAAGATCCCCAAACATATTCAAAACAAAAAGGCTCTCTCTAAGACATGTTATAGTCAAATTGGCAAAACTCAAATACAAAGAGAGAATCTTAAAAGCACAAGAGAGAAGCATTGGTCACCTATAAGGGAGTCCCTATCAGACTAACATCAGACTTTTCATCAGAAACCCTAAAAGCCAGAAGAGAATGGGATGATATCTTCAAAATACTAAAAGACAAAAATTGCCAGCCAAGAATACTTTACCCAGCAAGGCTATCCTTCCAAAATGAAGGTCAAACACCATAATTCCCAGGCAAACAAAAACTGTGGGAAGTTCATTACCACACAACCAGCCTTATAAGAAATTCTCAAGGGAGTACTGGCTCTGGCACCTGAAAAACAACCATCACTCCCATGAATACTCAAGAAAGAACAAAACCCACCAGTAAAATAAAAATGCTAACAATAAAGAGAGAGAGAAAAAAAAAAGTTTATCTACCATCCCAAGAGACCAACAAACACAGAAGACAAACAGTAAATCAGAAAGAAAGGAACAAAAGATATTTAAAACATCCAAACAAAAATCAATAAAATGCCAGGAATAAATCAGCACCTTTCAATAATAACTCAATGTAAAAGGATTGAATTCCCCACTCAAAAGACACAGACTGACTGATTGGATTAAAAAGATGGACCCAACAATATGCTGCCTTCAAGAGATTCACCTCATCTGTAAAGACACACACAGACTAAGAGTGAAAGGATGGGAAAAGATATATCAATCAAACAGAATTAAAAAACGAGCTGGAGTACCTATTCTTATACCAGATAAAACAGACTTTAAACCAAAAACCATAAAAAAAGATAAGCAAGGCAGCTATATAATGATAAAAGGATCTATCCAACAAGAAGACATAACACTCATAAATATATAAGCACCCAACATCAGAGCAGCCAGATTTATAAAGCAAACACTATTAGACCTAAAGAAAGAGACAGACACTAATACCATAATAGCAAGGGACCTGAACACCCCACTGTCAACATTGGACAGATCATCTAGGCAAAAAATTAAGAGAAACACAAGATCTAAACACCACTTTAGACCAACTGGACTTGGCAGATATATACAGAATATGTCATCCAACAACCTCAGAATATTCATTCTTCTCATCAGTACATGGAACATTCTCCAGGATAGACCACATGTTAGGTCAAAAATCAAGTCTCAAATTAAAAAAAACTGTAATTATTCCATGTATTTTTTCAGACTACAATGGATTAAAACTAGAAATCAATAACAAATGAAACTATGGAAACTACACAAATACATGGAAATAAATAACATTCTACTTAATGACATATGGGTCCAAGAAGAAATTAAACACGAAATCAAAAAATTTATTGAAACTAAGAAAATAATGACACATCATACCAAAACCTGTGAGATACTGCAAAAGCAGTACTAAAGGGGAAATTTATTGCATTAAATGCTTACTTCAGAAGAATGGAAAGATGGCAAGTAAACAACCTTACCTTGAAGAATTAACACTTCAGCTTAAAGAATTAGAAAAACAAGAACAATCCAAACCTAAAGTTAGTACACGGAAAGTAATAATTAAGATCAGAGCAGAACTAACTGAAATAGAAACCCCAAAAACGATACTATGGATCAATGAAACAAAAAGTTGGTTTTTTGAAAAGATAAAATTGACAAACCATTAGCAAGGCTAATTAAAAAAAGAAGAGAGAAGACACAAATAACAAAAATTAGAAATTTTTGGATACACACAAACTACCAAGACTGAGCCAAGAAGACATAGAAAATCTGAACAGACCAATAACAATCAAAGAGATTGAAGCTGTTATCAGCAGTCTCCCAACAAAGAAAAGCCCAGGACTGGATGGCTTCACTGCAGAAATCTACCAAACCTTTAAAGAAGACTTAATACCAATTCTCTACAAACTATTCCAACTAATTGAAACAGAGGCCATTCCCCCATACTCATTCTATCATCACCCTGATACCAAAACCAGACAAAAGTACAACAAAAAAAGAAAACTACAGGCCAATGTCTTTGATGAATATAGATGCAAAAATCCTCAATAAAATACTAGCTAACAGAATACAGCAATACATACATAGAATTATACACCGTAATCAAGTGGGATTCATCCCAGGGATGCAAGGTTGGTTCAACATATGCAAATCAATAAGTGTGATACACCACATCAATAAAATCAAAGACAAAAACCATATGATCATCTCTATAAGAAGCTGAAAAGCATTTGAGAAAATTCAACATTCTTTCATGATAAAGACTCTCTATAAATTGGGTATAGAAGGAAAGTATCTCAACACAATTAAAGCCATATATGACAAACCTATTGCCAATAACATCCTGAACAGGGAAAAATTGAAAGCTTTTCTCTTAAGAATAGGCACAAGACAAGGATGCCCATTCTCACCACTCCTATTCAATGTAGTGTTGGAAGTACTAGCTAAAGCAATCAGGGAAGAGAAGGAAATAAAGGGCATCTAGATGGGAAAAGACGAAGTCAAACTGTCCCTGTTTGGAGATGATATGATCCTATACATAGAACAGCCTAAAGACTCTACAAAAAAACTCTTAGTTAATAAATGATTCCAGCAAAGTTGCAGGATACAAAATCAGCATGCAAAAATCAGTAGCGTTTCTATACTCCAACAATGAACTGGCAGAAAAAGAAATCAAGAAAGTTAGCCCATTTACAATAGTCAACAAAAAATAAAATACCTAGGAATAAATTGAACCAAGGATGTGAAAAATCTCTATGATGAGAACTACAAACCACCATTGAGAGAAATTAAAGAGGATACAAGAAGATAGAAAAATACCCCATGCTCTAGGATTGAAAGAATTAACATTGTGAAAATGTCCATACTACCCAAAATGATCTACAGATTCAGTGCAGTCGCCATCAAAATTCCAAGGACATTTTTCTCAGAATTGGAAAAAACAATCACAACATTCATATGGAATAACAAAAGACCACAAATAGCCAAAGAAATCCTGAGCAAAAAAAAAAAAAAATAAAAATAAAAAAAGCCAGAGGCATAACACTACCTGACTTTAAACTGTACTACAAAGCTATAGTAACCAAAACAGCATGGTACTGGCATAAAAAACAGACACACAAACCAATGGAACAGAATAGAGAATCCAGAAATCAACATGTGCATCTACAGCCATCTGATCTCTGACAAAGGCACCAAGACGAAACACTGGGGAAGAGAACGCCTCTTCAGTAAATGATGCTGGGAAAATTGGACATTCTTATGTAAGAGAATGAAACTAGACCCATACCTCTCACCATATAGCAAAATCAACTCAAAATGGATTAAAGAATTAAATATACATCCTGAAACAATAAAACTCCTTAAAGAAAACATAGGAGAAAAACTCCAGGAAGAAGGATTGGGTACAGACTTTATGAATACAAACCCAAAAGCACAGGCAACCAAAGGAAAAATAAACAAATGGGATTGTATCAAACTAAAAAGCTCCTGCACAGCAAAAGAAACAATTAACACAGCAAAAAGACAACCAAAGTGGGAGAAAATATTTGCAAAATATATATCTGACAAAGGATTAATAACCAGAATATACAAGGAACTCAAACAACAGCAAAAAACAAGTAACCCAATTAAAAAATGGAAAAAGGAGCTGAATAGGCATTTCTCAAAGGAAGATATACAAATGGCCAACAGACACATGAAAAAATGTTCAACATCACAGCATTTGGGAAATGCAAATCAAAACCACTCTGAGATACCATCTCATTCCAGTTAGGATGGCTAATATCCAAAAGATTAGGAATGACAAATGCTGGTGAGGATGCAGAGAAAAAGGAACTCTCCTACACTGTTGGTGGGACTGCAGAATAGTGCAGCTTTTATGGAAAATGGTATGGAGGTTCCTCAAACAATTACAGATAGATCTACCATATGACACAGCTATTCCACTGCTGGGTATATACCCAGAGGAATGGAAATTATCATGTTGAAGGGATACCTGTACCTCCCACGTTTATTGCAGCCCTATTTACATAGCCGAGAGTTGGAACCAGCCTAAATACCCATCCTCGGATGAGTGGATAAGAAAAATGTGGTATATCTACACAATGGAATACTACCCTGCTATATAAAAAAAATGAAATACTACCATTTGCAGTAACATGGATGGATGGATTTAGGGAAAATTATATTTAGTGAAATAAGCCAGGCACAGAAAGAGAACTACTGCATGTTCTCATCTATTTGTGGGAGCTAACAAAAATAAATAAATATACAAACAAATGGGAGGGGGAGAAAAGAAGACACAACAATCATAATTCCTTGAACTGGTTAAGACAAGTGAACAGATATGATGCTGATGGAGTGGGAAGGGAGGGAGGAAAAGGAGTAATTGGTGAAGGGACACAAAAATCAACTACATTGTATATTGACAAATTAAAATTTTAAAAAAACCTTTTTTTTTTTGTCTTTTTGTCTTTTTTCGTGACCGGCAACGGATCGCAACCCTCAGTGTGTGGGATCCGAACCCTCGGCGGGAGCGCTGCCGCGCTTCCCAAGCGGTGCACTGTAGCAGTGCGCCACCGGGCCGGCCCTAAAAAAAAACTTTTTAAACCTTGGGTTTTGTATATATGTCTCTATTGACTCATACCCCCTAGCCAACGAGGTCGGTTTAAGGTTGGAGCCTTAGATGTTATTGTTGGTAATGACTGAACAAAGTCTGTAAAATTAGCAGGCATGAGAATTGCAACGCTTTTGTAATTTATTGAGCAAGTAAATTGCTTTGAGTAGACTGGTGGCCATCTTCAAAACTTCAAACATCTCTTTCCCTGTCTTTAAACCAAGCTGTTCTTTAAAGTACCTGGCAAATGTTGGCCAGGCGGCATCCAAGTCATAGCCCCTTGATGCCAGGTCAAACTGGACCTCAGTCAGCTCATAGAGATGGCCCACAATGTCAGAGCTCAGCTTTGGCTTCAGAAAGGGGCTCCTTGCATAGTACCAGTCGCTGTGGAAAAACAGAAAATGTGTCAATTACAAGAGTAATAAAGATAAGGAAAGAGTGCTGACTGGTCCTCCTGGTGTGGCTCTGACTCACCATACTCCAACTCAGGTTACCAAACTCATTAAAGATACAAACACACAAGCCAATTTCATTTTCACTGTAGGAGCAGGTAACTCTCAATAAGCTTGCTTTTCTTTGATGAAATTACTGCAGTGACCTGGATGCTTATTCATTTATTATTTATATCATACCTATTTCCCCAAAAGGATGTGAGAAACCTTAAATCTCAATTACTTGACAGGAAAGGGCAATTGTAAAGGAAAGAACATTTCTTTTTTGAAAGACAAATTAACCTTCTATACCTTTTCCAGAATTTGGTACAGGACACTGAACTCCCTGCTAATTTCTGTCCAGACACCATTGAAAAGCCAAGGAACAAACTATCTACCCAGAAATGTTACCTGCACTTTGAGGTAGTTAGTGGGTGTCTCATTTCACGGGAAGCAATGAGAATTTAAAAAGATAACACTGATGAGTTTAAAGAGAGTTACTTGGTTGATGTCTGTGAACTGTGATGAAGTCAAGCTGTTTATGACAGTCTTTACCAAACATATAGAACAAAAAACCCTTCAAATCAAATGTGCAAACATTCTCAGCTCATACCAATTTGCAAGGCCTGTCAAATGCCCGAGAAATACATCTTTATGCAAATCAGTCTTAAAGATGACAAAACAAAAATTTTCCCCCATAGTCTTTTTTTTTTTTTTTTTTTAATTCAAAAGTGATTTCCTAGATTAACTAGATATCCTTGATTAACTCCCCAGGGAGAAGGGAAGCAAAGATGGTAAAGGGGTGCTGGGTAACCCAAAGAGATGCTGCTGATCGGTTGGTTACCTGATTTGCAGCCCCTAACCTGACACCCACTCTCCCCTTTCACACTTAATCCCTGCCTCTCTCCTTCCTTCTTCCTTCCCTGCTGAGGCTTCAGCACTAGTGGACAACCTGGGCTCCGCAGCAAAGTCCAATCCTAGCCGCCCGTCAGAGTCTCCAGGGAGCCCAGACACCCCAGCAGGTGTTGCCTCAGTGTGTTAGGTGAGGTCCCAAGCTCACTGCTGTTAAGCAGCAAAGTCCAATCCTAGCCGCCCGTCAGAGTCTCCAGGGAGCTCAGACACCCCAGCAGGTGTTGCCTCAGTGTGTTAGGTGAGGTCCCAAGCTCACTGCTGTTAAAAACCCCATAGGTGATTCCGCTGAGAGGCCAAGGCTGTAACCTGTCCATTAGTACTGGCATTAAGGACACACCAACCATCTGGAAAAACTACCTGGTATTAAGAGTTAAGAGATCTGGCTCTGAGCTCCAGCTTTATAGTGCAGCCTCCCCGGGGCCTAGAAAAAGGCATTTAGCCCCCTTTCAGCCTTATTTCCTCACCTGAAAAAACTCAGGGCTATTTGCCCCACATCCTCAAGGACTGGTAGGAGAGGTGGCAGAGAATGATGGTGTGGAAGGACCGTGCAGGTGCCACACTGAGACACAAACAGCCACTGCTGTTGCAGTTGTCATTATTATTATTGATGAACTTTAGGTCATTTCTGAGTGGTATGGGGCTAGACCCCAGCACTCTCCTGTATTTACCTCGTTACTTTGGTGTTCATGAGGCACTGCTGTAAGGTGTCCGCCAGCCTCTGGTGCACCAAGGAGTAGCGAATAAATGCTCTTCCTTTCCCCAGAGATGTTCGAAGCTGGAAAAAGCACATTACATAGAGATGAAGAGCTCTTGGCCTAACTTCAAATATAGACCTGGCCTCATGGATGGCTTGCAAAAAACAGATACGGGGCAGAAAATGCCACCCAATTCTACCCTACATGTGGGCTTCACTCATATCCCTCCAAGGACACAAAACATTTGATAAAATCACTCCAGAAAGAGGCGTGACACGGGTGGAATACTTGCAGGCCTTCATGGGAGTATAATCTGTAGACTCTAGTAAACATGTCAAGGAAGATATATTAGCATCTGTGGATTCTATTGGAATGTCATTCCTCCCTCCTTGGCTCATCAGAATCTCTTGGGTTGGAGTCAGATATGAAACTCTTTGATTTATTTTGGAATATTTAGAGTAAACCTTGGAGGTAAATGAACTGAACTTGAGGAGGAAGAGAGGGCCTCAGTCTGGCTAATACTGAGTTTGTTTTTAAGGTGCTGGGGACACAGGTGCAGGGAAGAGGCCTGAGGGGCCCGGCTGGAGCATGGCTAGAAGGGGGAAGAGACAGGGAAAAGGGCAGAGGTGCGTGAGAGAGACCTTTAAGAAGTTTTGCTGGAATTGTTACTGCCTCCTCTATGTCCCCATGAAACCATCATTAAAACCCATATATTTGTTAACGCTTTCCTGGTTGGGTTTGTTTCCTTTCAGATATGCCGACTCACTGCATTTGGTCAGAAGGTGCCCGGGGGGTGAGAGCATGGGTGTCTCTAAGGCAGCCCAGTCACCCTGGGGTAATGATAAAATGGATATGCATCTGTCTCAGAAGTCTGGAGTGGTTGGCACAGGAGGGCCCAGGTGCAGGCCTGTCTTTCAAACCTCTCCCCACAGTACCTATAACTATAAAACCCATTCAGAGGGAGAAGATGGAACTGTTTTGAGATTTAAATTTACCACGCTAAACATGGTTTCTAAGAAAGTTTCTGATAAAGATGGGAAATGCAGGTCAGAGACTCTGCCATGAGACTGCCAAAGCAGGGCTCTGCTAGCTGGGGGCACACAGTAGACAAGATGCACGGAATAAAGGGGACAGCCACAGAAGACACCTGAGACCAGTTTGCAAATTAGGATACCTACTCCTGATGCATCAACCCTAGAAGCTGAAGATAAGGAAGCAGGAATTCAAAACCTCACATGCACCTATTCTATCAGGCCCTGGCTCTGAGTGGGGTAGGCCAGATCCAATACCCTCCCCACTCCTTCAAAGGTCAGAAACATTTAATGTGTGTATTTGTGGGGGGGTGGAGGGGAAGCAGTGGTTTGACCAAAAGAGGGTCCCAATACCCCATACTATTAAGATATCCATTTTGGCACTTGATTGAGACAGGAAATACTTGGTATAGCCTCAAGCACTGGCACGTTAATAATGCTGTAAACACCCCAGTATAGCACCTTTTAGCTCAGAGTTATGTCTTATTGCTGACTCAAGGAAATGATATCATAATATGAAGTGGTTTTCAAAAATAAAAAGGTGTTAAACCTTGTGAACTATAGAAGCTATAAGACATTTCCCTATATCAGTTCTGTAGGTTTGGGGTCAGGACAACTGGAAGTGAAGGTAAGTGCCAGCCTGACTTACTGCCTTTATAAAAGCCACTGTGGAGTGAATGCAGACAATTGATCTTGACAGATGTCCAGGGGAAAATCTTGATGACATCCCCATGTCCAAATACTTTTTCCCCTGGTAAGAGGTGAGAACACAGTGTGTGGAACATACCACAAAGCTCTGTACTTCAAAGGGCCTGGTTTTCCAAAGTCTTGCAGTTTCAAATATTGACCTTGCAAGGACAGGAAATTTTGCTCAGGCTGTAAGTCTCTGGTGTGAGATAAAGATTTGTGGCACAGCAGGTTGATGGCTCAAAGACAGACTAGTTACTGATTGTTATGTAAAGATACTGAGAAATTGCTATAAGAAGGAATGTTTGCTAAGATCAAGCTTGTGTTGATAAGACCACTTAATTGTCTACTGGAATGTCATCTGGCTTGTTTCACTGAAAGTTACCAACCTATACTGTTAAACTATAACCCCACCTATGTCTCTTCCTGTAACTTCCTGGTCTGGAAAATAAATGCAGGAAGAAAACCCCAATTCAGCATTAATTTTCCAAGGAAGGGATCCCTCTCGCTTGAGGGTTCCAGTGGGAGATTAACCACTTTGGGGCTTCTCACTGCTTGGAAGAGATGGGCTTTGAGTAATCCTTTCATCTCTGTCACCCAGGAGAAGTGGGGTGACAAATCCGTAGGGGGGTGAAGCAATGCAAAGCAACAACAGTGCTCAGTGGAGATAACCAGGAAACGCAGGCAGCCGAGAACAGCTGAGCAAGGCATTGGGAAATGAAGTGTGTCAGTAGTACAAACACACCCACACACAGGCCCTGCAGCATTTAATAAGATGCTCATGTAATAGCCCATATCTGTAAGCTCCCAAAGGCAGGAGCTTGTCCTTATTCTCAGCAAACTGGCCACTCAGAACTTTAAAGCAGCCTTCAGAACTTTAAAGCTTTTTTAATAGCAAACATTTGAGGCTATATTTTTAATCAGTCCCAGTTGATTATACATAAAGGGAGCTATTTATTTTAAAAGGCATTTTTAAAAATACCCTTTGTGGAAGGAAACAATAGTTCTTTGCACTGCAAATGTAAATACTGCATGGCTTTTTTATTTTTTGAGATCTGGGTCTGCATTCATTACCTAATTCCTTAATTTTTTTAGCATCTAATCAGAACCCATACACACTATAGTGAGAAGCACTAAGAGAGCAGCAAAGGACAGGAAATCTGAAAGGTAGAGAAGAGCTGATCCTGCTTTAAACCAGGCCACTGTGCCAGGAGCCTGATGCCGACCTGCACACTGTTCTTCACGGTGAAATGCACTCCAAGTTGCCCATTCCGCACCTCTGGAAATGGCTTAATAGAACCTTTATTTTAGTCCAAATGGCTGCCTCCCATCCCAAAGGGGCCTGAGTGGTTACTCTCTTGCTTGAAGACCCTGACAGCATTTGATTATTACAAGTTAAAGTTATTAAAGTTATCCCAAGTATCCAGTAGCTCACCCAGTCTAGTGATGTTCCAAGCCATTCCAACCAATGATGCCCCGGAGAGCAGTCTTCAACAGAAATAAACAACTGGGACCTATGGGAAGCAGAGACTAGGCCAGCCACCAAAACAACCAATGTTTGCACAAGCAAGGAATGCATTTTCCTTCTGAAAAGTCAGTTTCGATGGCTTCAAACTGTCTAAAGGTCTGACTGCATTATGAGAGAAGAGGAAATAAGCCAAAAAGTAGATGTGTTCTAGCAAGCATTTCAGAACCCTGAGGAATGGAGATTAAAACTAAATTTATTTCCAGACTTCAGCTGTCTGAAGTTATAAAGTCAGAGGCTGTAGTTGCCCTGTGCAGGGGCTGAGGAATACAAGAGAGGACAGTGACAGTGGGAACCCCTCCCAGATTTATGACGCATTAAAATTAAAACACTGCTCTACATCATGACCCTGAGTATCCCACCAGGCAAGACTTCACAAGACTTGCCCACACTACATGGATGTTAAGGAAACTCGCAGAACAAACTCTTCAGAACCAGGATCCTTCCTCCTTTTCTCAGGTGCCAGAGGGTGCAGGTGGTGGAAAATGCCCGGCCCTCAATGTCAGCGTATCTAACACCTCATTCTCTATAAGAAGAAACACATCCAGCTCCAGCTGGCACGGTCAGGCAGGAGCTCTTCCCAGAACACCAAATGCTGTGACCTTTGTGGGAGACCAGCCACATAGCATATGTGCTGACTTTAAAGTGACTTCACACTCATTGAAGAGATATTGAAAAAATGATGAAATGTACAAAACTCCTGCCCCTTATCTAGGGATTTACTTGCTCCCTAATATGCAAAGTTCTTCGCTCACGGATGGACTAGGCTGATAAGAGAGGAGAGAGATTCATTGGGGAAAGGGGGTGGCAGAGAGCCAGAGAGAGAGAGAGTGTGTGTGTATGTGACATAGGTGTGTGTATTTGTTGTTTTGGAGTTTTGTGAAACAGCAAAGCCTTGACATTCTGATCTCGAGGGGCTCTGAACTGAATGTGGGAAGTTTCTGAGCACACCAGCATTTTAAGAAATGTCTTTTGAGATCCCACATCACTCTCTTCATTTCATATCCAAGTTTCTGGGGCAAATTATAGGGAAAGCCACCTAGCAAACTCTAAAAATTTTATCTAAGAAATGTTTTTTAAAGGTGGAGGCATCCTATCTACACACCTCCAAGTGGTGCCATAAGCAGAGATGTATAATGTAAACAGCCCACCCTGTTAGGTTACATGTGGGTTGTGATGTAATGTACACTCAGGACTGAGCTTTTCTCTGCTTGGTAAACACTCATTTAAGTGGTTTCCCTGAGCCTGAGCCACAGCAAGCATGGGCACTGGATATACCTGGACTGGATTTAGTTATTTCCTTACTGCCTGTAAACCCCACTTCCTCACTTGGCTGTCTGCAGCAAATGTCTCTGCGTGAGATGCTTAAGACAGGCCAGAGGAAGACATGAAGTCCTTGGGTGCTGCATTCAGCTTACCTCCGAGATAGACTTTACGAACCGGATCCCATCATTAGCTCCTTTCACCTTGGCCAGGCAGGCACAGAAGTAATCCCAGTAGTCCTTCTTGTTGCCCAGAAGGGAGGCCTTTTCTTTCTGATCGAACTGGGAAGGGAAAGCAACAGAGAGAGGAGGTACCAACCCACTGCTGTTCATCCCACCATTGAAAGAATAAATAATAAAAATAGCTTCTTAGGTGCTGGCTCTGGGCAAGGACCTTTATTGACATTATTTTTATTTATTGGCAAATCAGGGTGTGTTAATCCCAAAATGAAGGTGTTTTAATCCCCAATTTATAGATGAGGAAACTGAGGCTGTGAGAGGTTAGGAAACGGAGGCTGTGAGATGTTAAGTAATTGGCTCAAGGTCATACAACTAGTGAGATTCAGGAATAACAGCCACCCACAAGGATTTATCCCTTGAAGGGAACTCTGTGGCACAGAGTTGGGTGGAAGACCACCAAAGCTGCTATGAACACATGAGAAATATAAGTGAAGAGTCTTAAGGGCAATATAAAGAGTGTTAACTATGCCCCAACTTAGAGAAATGAGGTCATGACATTTTATCCCAGTTACTCAACTGTTAAGTTTCAGTATTGTTTTAATACACAGATAATAAATTCAAATAATTGTGAGCTGAGTCATTTCAAATCCAAAACCAAAATGGGCTTAATTGAAAAAAAAAAGTCCATAAACATTTCTGCAATGTTAAGAAACAGTTGGAAAGGCATAAAAAAGGCAAGCCCTTCAGCACACTGGGGGTCTTTGCTCTTGTGGGCTCTTGCCCTATATGCTTTGGTGGGAAGTGACACTGCAAAATAATGGTGTTCAAAACAATACAGGTATATCTTTCTATAACATTTTATAGCATTTTTTTCTGACTGTAAAAGCAAGATATGCACATATTGTTAAGAAATCTAGATAAAACAAAAATGAAAAGGAGAAGAAAAAAGTGTAATGCCTAATACCCCATCCTAAAAGAACTTCTGGTCCATTTCTTTCCTGCCTATTTTAGTTGCGTGTGTTTTTTCACATCTGCAAAGTTCTGTAGATCAGTGCTGTTTCTTGAATTGAGCAGGCATAAGTTATACCATGAGTACGTTGAAAGAAAATTTTCTGGGCTGACCCAGAGATCCTGATTCAGTAGGTCAGGGTGGGAACCAAGAAAATACTTCTAACAAGTACTCAGATGATGTTGATGCTGCTGAACTGTGGACAGACTTTGAGCAGCAAGGCTGTAAAACAGGGCACTGTGGATAATCTTCAGAAGGCCCACACACTCTTGAAAATTGCCTGCAAAAATGCATGATTGGGTGTGTACACATATGCATGTACGTTTGGAGAGAGACTCCACAGCTTTCACCAAACTCCCAAAGGGGTATGTAACTGCCCCAAAGTTCAGATCCTTGCTGTACAGTGACCTTGTGACCTGCCTTAAAATGACCTAAAGAGATAAAGAATGTTATCTCCTTATTTACAGATAAAGAATGTTCTCTCAAGTCCCAAAATCATCCTAAGGGGCAACATTCTGATTCCCCAGAGGATCACACTTGAAGGATGGAGCTCTTGCTGGGGACTGCTCTGACCTTTGGTCTAACCATGAGGGCTTAACGGCTCCATTGAGCTTTCTGAACCACATCCTGAATGCTGATAAGTCATCCAAGAAGGAAACAAGAGACAACAGTGCAAAATTAACACATTACAGGCATCACTTACTTGTAGGAGATACTCAAGTTTATAAGAGAACTTATGCAAACTGGTGCTGTCATCTGTGATGGGTTCCCCTGCTTCCTTAAATTCTTTGCTTAGTTCCGTCACAGCATCTTTAAGATAACAAACAGGAACATGTAACTAGCTAGAGACTGAAGTCAGAGAGAGAAGCAGGAGTAGCCCCAGGAAGCATGAGGGATAAGGGGTCAGGGAGGGCAGAGCACCTCAGAAATGTAAAAGGGTATATAAATATCCTGTAACTCTAAGTCACAGAGTGTTAACATGTCCCGAGAGCCCACAGATACTTTACAACAGCTTGAGGACTGGGCATACTTCTTTTTCATTCCTGTATGCCCACCACCCATTAACAAATGTTTGCTGTGTGGATGAATCATTCAGTCCCCTAATACTGACTTCCAGAAAGTTTTATCTTTTATTCTCACCATATTTCTATTCTTCACTATAAACCTAAGCTAAGTACAGGTAAATGCAGGCTTCAAGAACACCCAATATGTGCACATAATAGTTATGATAATAAGAATCCCAACAATGACAACAACAGTGCTTGCTTCTGTTAACCCAGTACCCATGAGGGGTCAGGCCTTTACATGTATTTCACATTTAATACAGCACTGGAGGTAGTGATTGCCTTATTTCAGCAAATCTAAGATGTGACTGATTTTAAGATGCATCCCAATGTGAAAAAAATAATTGACACTTAGAATCTGGTATTATATCTCCATTTTACAGATGAGGAATGCAAAGAGAAGTCAGTGCACGTGGCCAAAGATCATGGGTCGCAAACAGCAAAGCTGGAATAAGAACCTTGGTTTTCTCAAGGAACTTAGAATCTGGTATTATATCTCCATTTTACAGATGAGGAATGCAAAGAGAAGTCAGTGCATGTGGCCAAAGATCATGGGTCGCAAACAGCAAAGCTGGAATAAGAACCTTGGTTTTCTCAAGGGCTTTCTGACCCCAGAGCTCACCTCTTAACTTCTAAAATAATTTATCTGCCTGTGCAGAAAAGGGGAAAACCACCTTTGATTTTCACTCACTGCCTCTGCTATGGGACAGAAGGACCGTTAGACACTGGATTTGGTTTAGATACTGCGAAATATTCCCCAGCTGAGATGGCTGGGATGTGCTGGATAAAACTATCTTCTTTTCTAACAATTCTTAAAGGAAAAGGAACCCCTAACCCCTGTTCCTAAGCACCATGGTTTGAAAAGACCTGCCCGGGACTGAAGATGAGCCTGAGCTAGCTGAAAATTTAATCAACACTGACCTCTCAAGCAAAGGTCAGCAAATGGTGATGACACGTTCTTGCAACTGATTCTTACAACAAATGACTGTTGTCTAGTTGTGCTCTACTAGAAATGTCTGCCATGGTTGGCATTGAGAGCTGGGGCCAGGGACCTGGGAAAGACACATAACTTTCCTCCTCTACCTTTCTTCCTCCTCAGGCTGGGTAAACACTCATGACCTGATCTGGGAACTCCCAAAACCTTGAAAGAAGGAGGCTTTGGATATGAAATATGAAATTTTCAGCTCTAATCTCTAATAATCCAAATGCACTACTTATGAATAATATTAGCTTTACAGAGCACACAGAGGGGGGAGGGGCCCGGCTAAAAGAGGCGGAATCTCAGAAATAAAGAAAGAAAGAAAGATCAGGTACACAGCTGGCAGGAACGATCTGCAAGGCTCAATAGCTCCATCTATTGAATTGGAGGTCCAAGATTCGAGAGAAAACCCCTGCCAAAATGAACAAACACCCAAAAAGAGATACCCGAAATGCAAAAAACCAAGAAAATACACCACCAAAAGTCAATAAATCTCAAACTCTAGATCCTATAGAACAAGAAGCCCTTGAAATGAATGACAGGGAATTTCAAGTGTTAATCCTAAAGAGACTGAA